ATTTGTTTAGAAACAGAAAATTCTTCACATTATTCACAATGCACTATATAATACTTAATATATGAGTATGTTATTTGTAAGAAGGTTATTTTGTATATTAGTACTGATTTTATATCATAGTACAAAATCATAAACTAGATTCATGTTATAAACATACTTTTAGCCATTGTTTGGTCGCATGTCACAGGCATTTTTAAGCTGTCAGTGAACCAATGATACAAACAACTAAGGAATAGGAAGTCAAGAATATTGTATTTATTTAAAACAACAGGGGAATTTAAAAAGCAGAAATCAATTATTCAAGTTGGAGATTGGCCAGACTTGAGGCTCCTGCTCTTGGGAAAAATACCATGAGACCTCCAATGACCTGAAGTAGTGAGAAAGGGCTCAGTGTTGCAACTCATTTAAAAGACAGCAAAACAGGAGCACTGGTTTAGTTTCTACTCAAAGAGGGAAAAAATATGTACAAACTAGGGAAATTGTCCAGAGCCACAGAATTTGGATCTGGATCTAAACTGTTCCCAAAGCCTTTTGTACAATAAGGTTGGCAACTTTATTCATTTTCAGGCATATGAATGCATAATTGAAATTCCACTTAGATAACCCTAGTCTACTTGCACACACAGTAAATTAAAGTCCTGAATAAAATGTTTTTACTTGAAAAACCAAAATATTCCATTTTGAAAATGTCACAATGAAATGTAATTTTGGGGGGCTTCACCATTTTGCTGACATAAACCATTTGCTTGAAATCAGCATGACTTTCAAAAATATTCTGATCGGTCTATATCAGCATTTTTTGTAAAAAAAAAATGGATGAAAATATTTCCGCGCCCTATTCTTCAGACCTCTGTAAGACAGAAGATGTTTTTTAAGGGGACCACTGTGGTTACAACTTTGGTTAAGTCAGTTTTTAGAGTTAATGATATTGCTACAAAATTTGGATCTAGATCTGAACTCTTTTAATGTTCAAGGATGCTCAGATCCAAGGCTTTGTGTGACTGTTTAGATCATGAGTGTTGATAGATTCTCAGCTCATGGTAGTATAATCCATTGTTCACTTATTGGTAACACTTGGAGTAATGATGAGGTCTATCTGTTTAATTTCACAATCAGAATTACTCTTAAACTTTCCCAGTCCAAAAATAATTTCACCAAGAGAGATCCACATTACCATCTAAAATGAAATGCTTCTGTGACACTGATTACCAGTGGCTGGTAATCATAAAATGATTTCAAGTGGTGAAGCTTCTTGACTCACATTTTCTTAATGTGAAGGAAAGGACACCTGAATGAAGGCTAGATGTTGAATCACCATATAACATTAGACTAACTCAGAAAATAGTGCCATGTTTCTCTCCCTGGTGATTTCTATCATCTACTGGACTGGTACAGGCTGAGGTACGACTGGCTAAGCAGAAGAACTGCAAAAAAGGACCTGTGGGTTACAGTGAAAAATAAGCTGAATTTGAGCCAGCAGTGTGCCCTTGTTGCAAAGAAGGCTGACAGCACACTGGGTTGTATTAGTAGGAGTGTTGCCAGCAGATCAAGCAAAGTGATTCTTTCCCTCCATTCAGCACTGGGGAGGCCACATCTGGAGTGCTGTGTCTTGTTTTGGATCCTCTACTAGAGAAAGGTTGTAGAAAATTGAAGAGTATCTAGTGGAAGGCAACAAAAGTGGTTGAGGAGCCAGGGGAAGAAATGTTGAGGGAACTGGGTTTATTTAGTCTGGAAAAGAGAAGACTGACGGGAGATTTAATAACAGCCTTCAACTACTCAAAGAGTGGTTACAAAGAGGATGGAGCTAGATTGTTCTTAGTGTTGGCAGATGACAGAACAAGGAGCAACGGTCTAAAGTTGCAGCAAGGGAAGTTTGGCTTAGTTTGAGATAAACCTGGTTGAATGTAGTATCAGACTTAACTGATTTGGCTCAAACTGGTTTATGCAATGTCTGTCCCAGACCCCTTGCTGGTTTAGTTTAAACCAGACTCCCCCAGCATCCCAACATGCTCTCTAGGCTGGGCAGGACTCTCTGCTCCACAGCAGAGCTGGCCCCTCCCCTCTGCTCCCTCACTGCAGCTTCAGCACAGACTGGCAGGCACAGAGCGTCTGCCTGCTCCCACCCTCCCCTCCTGCTACTTTTTCTTGTG